TGTGTGTGTGCGAGAATGCACATTTTTTCCAGCTAGCTGACTGTTGGCTCATACCATGAGGAGCTGTAAAATGTCACTTAAACTGGTCAACAATTAGCAGCTAACTGTTTTCATTGCATCAGCGTCTGTCTTTTGTGATCGCCCTTTAGATGAACAGAGAAATTCTCGGGTGATGTGTTTTGTAAAATCCTGCTGTTGATAGCCCTTCAACTGTCAAGACAGTTAAAGGAAATTCTGGTTCATTACAACGTGGGTCTTATTTGCATGGTCTTGGCCATTGTCTTTTTCAGTATTGATAAAATGGGACTCGCCAAAGTCATTTCTGAGATCTGGTAACAGGGAGACATTGCTACAAAGAACTGGGGCAAAACATGTGCAGTCAGACGATCATACAGGCTGTAAACAAGCTAACAATTTAGCCAAATTATCAAAACCACCTCAATTATCTAAACCCGAAGTAAGCACACCTGGAAATGTTGCTAATAGTCCTTCATTGCACAGTAAACATTCTGTGTGTGCTCACCAGTACAGTGAGTCCATGTTGAATCGTCTTTGTTTTCTCTACTAAATAAAGTCGGCTAATTTGGGGGTTTGTTTAAAACCTGCAATTGTCTCAACATCACACACGTGTCCTGCCACAGTGGACTTATTTTTTAGCCGTGTCACTTAAATACCAGATCTTAGCAATTGGCCCGAAACTCTGTAAAGAAAATCCAGGTTGCATAAAACAGGAACTTCCATTCCAGTGTAGCAGTTAAGTACTTTCAAAGAGTACCCGCATGGCTCAAAACTGCATCGGGGTCTCGCATTCATGCAGACGAATGCTTTCAAGTCTAATCAATACAGTGCATTCGAGAAAATGCCTGATGCAGAGATTTCCCATGATGCATTGCATTGAGCTTAGAGCTCAGTGGAAAATGCATCCCACAGTGTTTGGTAAATAAATCATCATCCCACCATGTCTCTTCAATCCATTTCAACCTCATCATTAGCGGCCTGCTTTTAGCTACTTCTCGGTTTGGATCATAGATGTGTACTCTAGTTTCTGATGGGGTTAAAAATGATATTTGAACTTGAGCTTGTGGGTTTCCTTTCTTTTTAATGTCATTGTGTTTCTTTTGTCACTGTGTCTCCATGTGTTGTCCATGTATGTTTGGTTCTGTCCTCATCATGACAACCCTTCCCTGCCAGCAGAAGGTAAACACAGGCGTTCTTACAACGCTGGTCCGCCTGTAGCTCTTCCTTTAGCTCCTTTTTCCCCCCCCCTCTTTTATCTTTCCTCCTTCCCTGTCTCACTCGGTCACTGATGTATCATCACTCTAACAGCGCTGATGAGATTTAAGTTATGCGTTTGTGTCTTTTGTTTGCTGCATGGGGGAGCACTGGAGGCACTCTGAGAGGAGAAAAGAGGGCTGGACATAAAAACAAAGGATGGAGGATATTTTTATGTTTTCAGAGCAGAGTCTTTGTGGCCGTGGCTGTCCAGATTATCCTGCTTAATGACGCTGGTGCAGAGGAGCAGCATGGCAGCGCTCTGAGCTCAGCAGGAGGAGCTGAAGCTGCACATAACACAGCATCCTCCTCATATAACCTCAGTGTTATATGGGACATGACTGATGCGTTTGTGTGTATCATACATGATTTATGGCATAACACCATGGCAAGATAACGCCGTGCAGTCATATATGGCCACTGCATACTTTCATATATGACTAAACTTAACCTTTCCTTTGTTTGTATTGGATTTTTAAAACATTGTAACAACTCTCTGACTGGGAATACGTTTAACAAACGCTAATCAAACAAATCAATCTACTCACTCATCCGGCAGAGTTGCTGCTGTCTTTGTGTGAAAATGTTGAGATGAATTAACTCTCATGTCAAACCATCTCCGCAGTTGATTACTAGACTAGATAACTTGATTGCTTTTTAAATTTAAAAATGAAGTCCTCAACATCGTGGTTATCGACACTCGAGTGAATTTATGAAGGCTTGTGGCAAATGAAGGCTGTCATTATGCTTTGTAAGGCTTAATGCAATAGGTAAAGAGAAATGCATACGCATGCCAGGAACTGTAAAACGAGGCTCTTAGAAACATTCATCGCTCATAAATATGTTTCGTAGTTTCACTGAAGCTTAACAGTACATCCAGAGCGAAATGCTTTCAGTAAATCAATATTCCCCTGCAGTGTGTAATGCTGCCATCAGCTGCTCTGTTTGACTGTAAGCGGGCTGCTTTCCACAGTTTCACCTGCTGGTGGAGCTGTTTCACGACGGGGAGAAAGCCACCAGCCCCACTAGTCAGGTCTCCGGCACCGGAGGCCGGACCCGCCTCAGCATCAAACCTGACAAGGGCCGTGAAAAGAGCAGCAAGGAGCACAAGAAGACCGTTGGCTGCCAGGTTGAGATCTCTTTTCAGTGTTTTTGTTCTGTGGACTGATGCAGTTAGATAGATAGATACTTTATTCATCCCCAGGGGGAAATTTGTAACACTTTGTACACTGTACTCAGTGTATGTGTTTACACAGGTGCTCGGTCCGATCTAACTGGACAGAGTGAGATCAGATCCCATTGAATATATATAGTTGCTCTGTTTACCCACATGTCTTTTCTTATCCAAATTCATTGTCAAGCGTTTGTTTTTATTGCTGCCAGTTGTGAATTGCAGCTACATCAAAATGAGGAAAGAATGACTTCTCCGTTGGTTTGAAGGGATATCAATTATTTCTTAATCTGCTCTGATTGTTTTTAGATCAATTATATTGCAGAAAACAACAGCATGTGTTTGTAATGATGATTATCCAAAGCTGCATTTTACACTTGAAAATGATGGTGATGATTGTCTTCTCTTGTAGTTTCGTAACTCGCTGCAAATGCTGATGGGTACTTTGAACGCAACAACCCCGCACTATGTACGCTGCATCAAACCCAATGACTTCAAGCTGGCCTTCACGTGCGTCTTCCTCTTCTTTATTTATGAATTGTTGTATCTAGAGCCGCCATCTTAGCTCAAGTGTAATTTATAGAAGCCATATTTACTGTCGTCATTTGATGTCGGCAGGTTTGATCCTAAACGTGCGGTGCAGCAGCTCAGAGCCTGCGGTGTCCTGGAAACCATCCGCATCTCTGCTGCAGGTTTCCCATCCAGGTACTGATGCATCCCAGCAACACTGCTACTGCTACAATTTTACAACTTGAGTATTTTTCTTTACAGAAAGCCAAACAGCAAAGCAAACCTGGTTCCCTCTTTGCAAATTGACTTTGCTGAAAGAATGTACTTGATTGAACAAACAGCAAATGAATCAAATGTTTACGTCGTGGCTAACTTTTTTTTTTTATGTGTGTGTGTCTCAGATGGACGTACCAGGAGTTCTTCAGCCGTTACAGAGTGCTGATGAAGCAGAAGGACGTGTTAGCTGACAAGAAGTTGACCTGCAGAAATGTTCTGGAGCAACTGGTGCAGGTCAGGCTGTCTGGGTTTTTACCTTCCGTTTATTCTTAACAAGGAAAAATAATATGATTTGCATTATTTACGGCACCTATAACTTTTCATTTCCAAGTCCTTTGTTCTGCTCCTTTACCCTTCTAAGAAAACACCGTTCTCACAGAGTAAATCCGTCCCTTCTTTGGTCGGTCTAATCACCGTCTTACTCCTGATCTCTGCTCCTGTCTTCCTTCAGGACCAGGACAAATACCAGTTTGGTAAGACCAAGATCTTCTTCAGGGCCGGCCAGGTTGCCTACCTGGAGAAGTTGAGGGCGGAGAAGTTGCGTGCTGCCTGCATTCGCATCCAGAAAACCATTCGCTGCTGGCTGGAGCGCAAGAAGTATCTACGCAAGCGCAGCTCTGCCATCACCATCCAGAGGTTCACCAGAGGATACCAGGCTCGCTGGTGAGTCAGCTGAACTCCCTTCAGCCTTTAAAACAGAACAATCGCATGCGAACACATTTGATTCCTTCTTACGGATTGTTTTAAAAGACAATGCTGGGTAAAACTATTTGTTTTGATTATTGCAGTTAAATTAGTCGCAGGATGAAATACATGAGGTTTAAAGTTGTGTTCAAGGGTTAGTTGAGACCTGTTTATCTCTGGTCTCCTCAGCCTGGCCAAGTTCATGCGTCGCACGCAGGCGGCCACCGTTATCCAGAAGTACCAGCGGATGTGCGTGGAGAGGAAACGCTACAGACAGAAGCAGGCTGCCGCTCTGGTCATGCAGACGATCCTCAGAGCGTACATGGCCCGGCAGAAGTACCAGGCGGTAAGACACGCGTCGCAAAATGCTGCAAAATGAATTCAACCTCACCGATTATTAAATCCTAAGATCCAGCTTTCTCACAAGAACAATTCAACTAAACATTTCTTATACTTTGTTATACTAGTTCAGTTATTGTCCTACTTACTCACTCACTTCTACAAAGTACTGTAACAAGTAAATCACACCCGTTGCAAGTGTGACTATTACGGAACAGGAATCGGTAAAATCAGAAAAAAAAGATATTTTACTGTACGTAATTATACCCACATGGGCTCTTACTCTTTCTGCTTCTCCTTTGCTGTTTCTGTTTCCGTCTGAAGTTACGGCGAGAGCACAAGGCGGTGATCATCCAGAAGCGCGTCCGCGGCTGGCTGGCTCGGTGCTGGTACAAGCGCTGCCTCGTCTCCATCGTCTACCTGCAGTGCTGCTTCCGCAGGATGAAGGCCAGGCGCGAGCTGAAGAAGCTGAAGATCGAGGCTCGCTCAGTGCAACACCTCAAGAAGCTCAACAAAGGCATGGAGAACAAGATCATGCAGCTGCAGAGGAAAATCGACGAGCAGGTGACGGATTTCCCCCATTTTTTTTTTGTCTTCATGTATTGATTTATTTTGTCATGCGGGTGTTTGACTTGCCTGTTTTTATGATCCGTCCCATGCCTCCAGAACAAAGACAAGCGGTTGGTCAACGAGAAGCTAGTCAGTCTGGAGACCACCTACACAGCAGAGAGCGAGCGGATGCGTGGCGATCTGAGCCGGCTGCGCGGGGTGGAGGAGGACGCCAAGAACAAAGGCAACCAAGTGTCCTCGCTGCTGGAGGAACTGGAGAAGCTGAGGAAGGAGCTGACTTCCACACAGAAGGAGAAGAAGACCATCGAGGACTGGGCGCAAACCTACAGGAACGAAATGGAGAAAGTAAGACGGGATCCACATCTGTACCTGCAGACCTGTAGTGGTCCAGGTCCTCCATCTCGTAGACCTGTAGATGCGTTTTTCTCAATTTTCTAGATTTCAAGGGAAATTCACTTTTTGCTTATATACCCTCCTTAAAACCTCCTCTGTCTTCTCTCCTCCACTTAGTTTCCAGCTTTTAGTGAGACTGTCGCGGTCAAAAGTCCTATATCACAAACATTATTTTTTTGCTTAAATAAGCATATTGGCACCAGAGGAAAAACGTTTTTCCCCAATTTAGGAGCCAAATCGAACCAGTGTGAAATGGGCACATGGTGGGGTCAGAGGGCACAGTTGCCCCGGGGCAGGTGAGCACAGGAGATGGAGTAGTGTGCTAGTGAGGTAGCTACTGAACTCTGTGTGTGTGTGTGTGTGTGCATGTGTGCGTGCGTGCGTGCGTGCTCTGTGTTTTTTCTTTCTTCTGCTGTGTTTCTGTCTGGTATTTTGTCTTCAAATAACCCGGGGAGCATCTTTTAAGAGTTAGGAGTTACAGTAATGTGTTGGATGTGGAAAATAAATGGATCAGTCACACAATATGTTGGTTAAGGATCATTTGTTAATGTGTGTGTGTGTGTGTGTGTGTGTGTGTGTGTAGATGGTCTCGGAGCTGAAGGAGCAGAATGGCTTGCTGAAGAAAGAGAAGGACGACTTGAACAGGTCGATTCAGGAACAGAGTCAGCAGATGACAGGTATGAAAACGCCACCGCCTAAATCATCCATCTAGTCATACAGAAAGGCGTGAATGTCTCCTAAACCATACAGTGTGTTTCTTCATGACCCTTCAGAGAAAATGGCCCGTGCCATATTAGAGGAGACTCAGCAGCTGAAGACCGATCTGAACGAGGAGCGATCTCGCTACCAGAATCTCCTGACAGAGCACCGCCGCCTCGAGGAGAAACACGACGACCTGAAGGAGGAGATGGTCTCCTCGGTGAGGAGCACATGCACACACCCAGTCAATACTTATGAGATGTTTAACTCGTATATGAACATCATTTGACATCAAATGGTTTGTGATAGACTCGAGTTCAGACTGTAAGTGTATCGTTTTCTAAATGAGAGGTTTATTTTCTCTCTCATCTGCAGAACGTCTCAAAGCCTGGCCACAGGAGAACAGATTCCACCCACAGCAGCAACGGATCAGAGTACACGTACAACTCAGAGTACGCCGAATTGGAAGAAGGTTCCCGTGCCGCCGAAGTAAGATCGTTGGCATCAAGTACACATTTAATAAGAGGGAACATCCAGAGATATGCTTTCTACTGTTAGTTGCTGATGTTAAAGTTGCCTTTTCATTTAAACGCCGCCATTCAGATACATTTCACGGGGCATGTGCTCTGTCCTCACATGTCCTTGTCCTGCAGGATGTGACTCGAGGAATCGACACCTCGCTGACCCTCAAGCTGCAGAAACGTTTAACAGGACTGGAGCAAGACAACCAGTCGCTGCGCAACGAACTGGAAAACAAGGAGGACCAGTTCCAGCGGGCTAGAGCCAGGGTACCGACAACCACACTGGGCTCTGAAATACATCACATTATCAATATGTATAATATCAACAAAAGATATAACACTTATATCACACCTAGTTATAAGCCTCTTTTAAGTGTGTTAACATTAAAGGATTGTAAACCTACAGTAAATGCTTGTATAGTACCGAATAAAAGCTAAAATATACATACGTAAGCATTTAATAACCCAGTGTAAGAACAAATAAGTACTTTTTTTTACACTTTTTATGACGCCTTGATATAATAAGAGGCTTTTTCATGCTCATGTACATAATTTAAAGGTCTCATTTGGTAATACATAGGGTATTACACAGGCCCTGTTCTTATTCTGTCTTGTGTCAATACAGACTTTGTCTTTGTCTTGTTTCAGGATGACGTTGAGTTTAAAAAGGCTCGTGGGGCAGAGCTGGAATACGAGTCCCTTAAGGTAAGCCAGACATCTTCTTTTATTAGTGTTTCCGTAGCTCCAGAAAGCCTCATGTGCCACTAGTTGTCATAACTCTGACCCCCCGACACTGAATTTTTTTCTCTTCTCAGCGTCAGGAGCTGGATTCGGAGAACAAGAAACTGAAACATGATCTAGTGGAGATTAGGCAAAGCCTGCTGGGTAAAGCAGCTACTGGTGCTGGGGCCCCGGGCTCCCCAGCTTACAAGGTGGTCTTGGAGCAGCTCAACGCCTCCTGCGAGGAACTGGAGGTCCGTAAAGAGGAGGTGCTGATCCTGCGCTCCCAGCTGGTCAGCCAGAAGGAAGCCATGCACCACAAGGTAGAAGAACATTTAACTGTCTCTGTTGTCTCTGTCCTCAAAGAGGGAAAGTTCATCCATCACCACTGCTCAACTGGAAATGATCCAAAGATCTAGTACATGGTTAATAATCATCCTCATGTAATTTAACATGTAGGCTCTGTGGTCACATGGTGCTGTTGTTTGTTCACAAAATGAAGCTAGATTTTGGTGGATGTCTCCTGCTTGATTGCATCCACCTTCTCACATTTGTGTGTTGTGTTTTCACCGGTGTGTTTCTCCGTTTGTCTATTTGTTAGCACAATGTCCCAAAACACGACTAACGGTTCAGGCCAAGTCTCTAATGGCCTAAAGATGACTTGAACATTACTTGATTGACATTTAAACTCTAGTTAGTTGGTGATTTAGGTCAAATCCCGTTATTATTTACACTGTATGTCGATATTGTTTTCACTGCACCGTCAGTGTGTCTAACTCTCCTGTCTCCACCTTCTCTCCTCCATCCATGCTTTCCCACAGGATGAGAAGGTACAGTTTAAAAACTGCATCATGCATGAGTACTTCACACTTTATTCAAAGTGGGTGTTGCATGTAAAACCTCCGTAGGTAAGAAATCTGATCCAGAAATCAATTTTATATTTCATCTCAGTGATAGCCATCAGCAGCACCGCTCTGTGCTGCTCTTACCACCGCTGCTAGGAAAGATGTTAAAGTAACTTAAAGTTTACACATAGATACTTAAAACAGCTGTATGGTGGTTGTTCAATGGTGGAGGTTTCTTACTTTGCACTAGCAGCTGCTCAAATATGGCTTCTTCTAGTGGGTTTCATAGAGAGTTTAGTGAAAGAAAAGGTTTCATAAAGGTCAACTATAAACTTCAGTACCTAAAGATTAAGTGTGAGGGTGCATGTTCCCTCCAAAGTATGACAACTATTTGCACTGGAACCATAAAATAGGTGACCAAATTATTGTCAAACGAGAAACCCAAAAGTGAAGCTGTAACAAAAAGTCACAGAGGAAACACAAGATCAGTATTCTTACTTTAAGAGGCTTTACACACACACAGACACACACACACACTGTCCCCTCCAGGCTGGAGTTTGATTATCTCATCTGTCAAGTCCTTTGTCTGTGTGAATGAATGCAGTTATGGACCGTTTGTTTCACTAAAAGTCACTAAGAGTTCTGCTCATCAGCAGCTTTTACAGCAGCCATTTTGCATTCGTTCTTGTGAACACTGTCTGTGATACGCTCACAACCCGCGGATGGATGTCACTACAAAACTAAAAACCCTCTGCAAGTAGAATTTGAAATGGCAGCCTGTACATTTCTGTTCATACCAAGGCAGCACAGACAAGGGGGCTCACTTCACAGTGCTGAGCAGTGGTGACTACTTGTGTCTGTACTTATTAATCGTATGTTTTGAATTATTCATGTTGCTGTTGACTCACTACAGAAATAAACTCTGTGACCGTTTGTCTGCTGCATTATACTGCAGCTACATAGAAGCACAGATATGCTGGTTCCCATGCTTAATGCTAACAAATTAGCCTTGTCATTGTCATTTTGATCCCAAGTGACCTTAACCCCTCGTTACTTATCAGCTGATGCTCAGCACCTCTTGTCTCTTGAAAGCTTGAAAAAAACAAAAGCCCCCGCTGTGAAGTGACGTTCCCTGTAGATAGACGGCTGACGCTGAGGCGTCACTTGATGGCTTGTCACTGTTTCATCCCGAGGCTCCTACTGGATGATGGTTGTCAGAGTGAAAGGACAGTCATAGCCAGCAGCTATAGCTATGCTGGCAGGGAGTCAACAGCGCACATGCTGCATTCATGAAACCCATCGGTCCGCTCGTCTTCATTCATACACCTACACTGTATGAAACTGGTTCACGGTGCTGCGTAGCTAGGCGGTTGTAGCAGCCAGGTGGCTCTGTTAAATGTGGTGTAAGTCTTTCTCATTTATCCCCGTTTCCTTTATTTACCTTTCTGTAGGAGACCATGACCGAGCCTTCGGTCTATGTCGAGGATGTGTCCAAACTGAAGGACGCTGATGAACTCAAGCAAGCGTACATGGGCCTCAAAGACACCAACAGGTACTTTGGTCCAGCCAGTTCTCCTCCAGGTCTCCACATTCATCAATGTTGAATTCACCCTAAGCAACCGAGCCCAACATTTGTATCTCGCTGAGCTCTCGCTCCATTCTTGATATCAGCGTGAAATATGTGCAAGAAATGTGTGTTTGTGAACACTGCCTTGTCCTGTGCAGATCTCCTAGGTTCATGCGTAAGCCGTTGGAAGTCAGTGACCTCCTGAGTAGGCTGAGGTAACCAATGAGACGTGGCCTACGCATCATGGAACAGAGCATGCATGGCCACGCTGATGCCAAACCTGAGTTGAAAATGTTACTGAAGCAGAAACAGCTGACTCTACGTTGTAGTGCTGATGTAAAGCTTGCGTAGCTTTGCGCGGCGTTTTCTGGCCCTAACTGCATGTCGAATAATGCAGCAGCTCTAGTTACAGCTAAAGGTCTTACTCGTGCTCTAACAGACTGTGTTTACCAGTGTTCAAGGAATGTGTGCTTGGCTTTTGGAGTCAAGTTTTAGGATTCATAGGTCTGCATGGGATTCAATGAATCGGCATGTACAAGAGTAGAGTCTTAAACTGAAGGTAGTTTCTGTTTGAGCGCAAAACAAAGATATTTTGAAAAGCTCCGGTCTGTTTTTGGAGATGCTGCAGAACTCTTATGTTCACAGTGCAGTGTTTACAAAATATGCGGCATGAAAGCATGGACATGTCTGAGCTAAAAAAGGTGTATATAAGTAACCTTCAGTTGTAGTTTAACCTTTATTAACACATAGATTTACAACACAACTTCCTCCTACACTGACTCTTCAGCAGTGATCGGTTGGATGCCGCTGTGTGGAAGCCTCCTGTCTCAGCGTTATGGAATGAGTTTGGCATAAATCCTGCATGAAAGCCCACTTGTTTTCTTTGTTTGTCGAAGCAGAGATGCACAGCACACTTTCAATGAATTGGATGTCGATGCGACAACATTACTATACTTATAGAATACACTTAAAGTTACAGTGTTGAGGGAAACTCTTCACATTGTTACTTAACAGTTGCCTAAACCTCTGCGCTGTGCATCACTGCCTTCATACCTTTTTCTTCCATGTTGCTCCCTTTGTTGCCTTCTTTGTTCACACTGACATACGAGTGTACAGTGGAGAGTATTTAATACACAGTAGGCTACATTTAGACAATCAAGGACTTCACCACTGTTGCAATCAGCAGCGCCTTAAAACCTGAATCTGTGGGTATCTCAGTGTTGGACGTAATTCAGATTACAGATAGATTAACATCACAGTCCAAATCCTGATGGCATAGAAAGTTTCCGCTTTTAGTTTGGTGGTTAAATCATATAAATTAAAGCTACTAAGAGGAGCTTTTGTTTTGTTTTGATTTTGGTGGTGCTTGTGGATTAAAGTGGTAGAATCTCCGAGTCCCTTTTAGAAAACCTCTCATTTGAACGCAGCAGGGTACGACAGTCGCCCCCTCCTGGCTGGAGGAGGAGCCGCTGCTTTCATTACAAGTTCCTCGTAGTAACTCTAAAAGGTAGATGGACACAGGTTATTTTTCTCCACAGTCACATTCAGTAACTCCACATAATCTTGCATCATATTGGACAGTGTTTTTACATGCAGACATCTCAGATAAGGAGAAGAAGACGTGTTACTGTTGTCTTGCACATCTCTTTCCCCAACCACACCATCCCGCATTTTTATTTTTTGTTATTGTGTTGTTCGTGTTCCTTTTGTGTTCTGTTTGTCGGTCAGATCTGCCGCTCCAGACTTCCATAAGCTGAATGAGGACGGAGAGCTGTGGCTGGTTAATCAGGGCTTAAAGGAAACCATCAGGTGGAACTGTGTTTTTTAACACAAGTGTCATTTCTTTTTAGCATGATACGTTTGCCTTTTCACTGGAAAGAATGTGTGCTGCTGTTCTTCTTCATTCACATCTTCTCTCGCTCTCACGCGTTATCAACCGTTTGAATTTATTCACAGGACATGTAGTAGTTGTTGGTATTCAGGAGTCCTCCAGACTAATAGGAACAGCTTCTCTAAGCCTACTTTATGTTTCATGCATTTGGCCCCAGACCTCATTAGAGGGGCCCTACGAGGGTAGTTTTAGTGTTGTGTTACAGAGTTAGCATATCATGTATTCTACCTGGGTGCTATCGATATTTTTGGCACAACCGAAGATTTGCCCAGTTGATTTGGTCACACTCTCTTCTGACAGGGTTGGGTGCTCTATAACAGTTATATAGAGATTCTCCACAGATGTTTCTTAATGGGTAGTCATTTATTTAAGGTTTTGGTTAGATTTTCGCATTTTATTTATAACTAAGTGCTTCACAATTTGTCTTCATTCTGCCACTAACCTTGTTTTACTCACTTATAATGACAGTCTGTAAAATATCTCAGCTTCTTGTAAAATATTAACTTTAATATTCACTGCCGAGCTCGCTTGGTTTTTTTGCATTGTAAAATGCTTTTGTGCTGCCAGATGGATTAGATTTGTTTTTTTACTAACGTCTTATGTATAAGTAGTTGAAACACAGCGAGAAAACAAGCCTTGTTTCTGACGTTTAACACGATTCCTAAGAATTGTTCACAAACGCATTACTTTCTGCAAAGCTTATTCCTTTCCTTGCTAATATCTTTTTTTAAATTACACATGGGGAGAAGAACCTGGGAATCTTTCTGAGCATGAAGACAACCTTTTACATGTTAGCAGTAGTAATAGGGGAAAGTCTCACTGGATGTTAGTTCACTTATTGCCATATAACTTGTATAACTGAGTTTGAAGTTACCAAACTAGAATGAAGAGATCCATAAACAGTTTGGGAAGCAGATCGTAAACCCTCTGAAGCAACAAACTTCATCAGCTCGACCTTGCCAAGCCTGACCTCTGTCCACAGAGTAGACACGGTTCAATGTTTAAAGAAAGTGAATCTTAATGAGTCAGCAGATTTAAAGTGTGTTCACAGAGGCTGGACTCTGGGCTGCTGGTATTGTCTGCACAGCATGCTGCTGTCCTGCGTCACCACACTGTGGTGAAAAGCTTGTTCTCTGACTGTTGTTTGTTCTTTTACTTACACTACAATACTGATTTATTTTTCCTCTCCTTCTTCCATGGATGCCCTTTCTCTTGTTATTCTCCAACTTTTCTTCTATCCCACTCCATCTTCCTGTCTTCCCTCACTTCCTTTCACCTGCCACATACCTCTTCCTTTTCCCTCCTCCCTCCATCTTCTATCTACCCTCCTTCCTTGTTTCATCTTTGGCACACCTATCTTATTATTCGTATTCTTCTTCTTCTTCTTCTTCTTCTTCTTCTTCTTTCCCCCCTCTGGTCTCATCTCCTCCCCCTCAGGCTACTGGAGCACCAGCTGCAGACTCAGCGGAGAGGTTACGATAACGAGGTGGAGTCGTTGCGCGGCGAGCTGCACAATGTCAAGGAGGAGAACAACCGTCAGCAGCAGCTCTTGGCCCAAAACCTGCAGCTGCCTCCAGAGGCCCGAATCGAAGCCAGTCTGCAACACGAGATCACCCGGCTCACCAACGAGAACCTGGTACGCTGCAGCACACACACAAAGACGCATACATGTTGAGGAAGAGGAGTAACTTCAACCTCAGTAAATGTAAAGTTCTTATCGCAAAGAGTCTCAGCACACTGAAACACAAAACAGCGAGACTCCACATCTACAAATACACAGAATCCCGTACATACAGGTAACAATGTGTTATACAAGATTACGGTTAAGATATAAAACCGTTAACAATTAAGACATTTATATGACATAAATATGGAGTCTGTGGAATGACCATATCATGATGGGTTTTATGCCTAAATTTGTAAACATTTTTTTCTCCGACTGAACATGACTTTTATATTCAAATAGTCAAAACGTTTTTCAATAGCTAGCAACATCGACATTTAAAGTTACAATATACATGCTCCCCATAATAGATCCATAACCAACAATTCAAAAAAACATTCGGAAACATTACATATGATCTTTGCTACATTTGAGCCCCGTTCTTGCACACTGCAAAGCGTGGCAGGAACGTGTTTGGATTGGTCGTTTCATCTCCACTTGGGCCACGCATACAAAACCTGAAACAGTGTCACACACACACACACACACACACACACACACTCATTTGTGTGGATGGTATCACCTGACAGGAACTCCTGGCTGAAGACCCCACAGCATCCCGAGAGGCTCGAGTCACCATTTTACGACGGATGGTTGTATGTAGAGTGTGCATGCGTGTGTGTTTGCACGTGTCAGAACTAACTGAGGTTTGTGTGTTTTGAATGAAGCAGCGCTGAATGTCGCTCTAACTCTCCACAGCGGCGTCTTCTAACTCACAGCGGAGCAGCTCTTCACCTTTTTTCTTGTTTCTAACAGTCAGCGAGTCCTTCAGCTTCTCTTCCTCTGAAAGAGCAATCAGCACAGCAGCTCTCATGTTGCCCCCTCACCCCTCCTCTCTGTTTCTTTGTTTGTTTGTTTCCAAGATGGGAGTAAATGCAAAGCCTGATGTACAGAAGTGTTGGAGTGTGAAGCTGAGAAGTCGGAGGCTTGCCGTTTGTCCTCACTATTGTCTTTTCTTTCTCTTTTTATCCGTCTCTCTCCATCACTCCAACCCTCGGCCGGTTTCAGGATCTAATGGAGCAGTTGGAGAAGCAGGACCGAACCATCCGCAAGCTGAAGAAGCAGCTGAAGGTTTACTCCAAGAGGATCGGAGAGATGGGGGGTACTTTACAAATTATGGATCAGCAAAGACTTGAGAGTCTGTACATATTATGTGTTTGGGTGCTACAGGACAGGATATCGTCTGACTGTCATGTCTTGTGTGTCTGCCAGCGGGTCAAGCCGAGGGACAGACGTCTCCAGGACAGATGGTGGACGAGCCGATACACCCCGTCAACATTCCTCGCAGGGAGAAAGATTTCCAAGGGATGCTGGAGTACAAGAAGGAGGATGAGCTCAAACTGGTCAAGAACCTCATCCTGGGTAAGAACTAAGTATGAAGAGCAAGAAACAACAGGTGGAAAATTAGATGAAAGATAGTCATCAAAAATCTATCAACTTTAAAGAGGTTATTTAAGGACAAACCACTTAGCCTAACATGGACTTTATAATGCCCCATTCATGTTCAAAATAAATGCCCCATTCACAGTTTCTACCGTCTGAACTCTAGAAACCATCTTGTACAAAATGAAGCTTTGTATTGACTGCAGAAACGTCTCCTAATGTTCTCCTCAGTCCATCGCTGAACTCTGAATTGCTCCTCTTGTCTCTCCAGAGCTGAAGCCTCGTGGTGTGGCTGTGAATCTGATCCCAGGTCTGCCGGCCTACATCCTGTTCATGTGTCTGAGACATGCAGACTACAACAACGACGACCAGAAGGTCCGCACCCTGCTCACCTCAACCATCAACAGTATTAAGAAGATCCTAAAGGTTTGTGTTTTATTAGGACTTTGGGGGCGACCTGTAGAAAGTTTCGTAGTTTTTTTTATCAGTAATTTGTGGAATGTTTGACTTGGACAAAGACTTGACTATTACCAGCTGGTTTACTGACTCCAGTTTGCTCTTCCTCTTGTCTCTTCCTGTCAGAAACGAGGAGACGACTTTGAGACGGTCTCCTTCTGGCTGGCGAACACCTGCCGCTTCTTACACTGTCTGAAACAATACAGCGGAGACGAGGTGAGACTCGCACCATGCACACCAACATAGAAACGTTTTAACTCAAATGGGTACACGTACATACTTTGGGTTTGGTAAACTTAGAGGCAATTAAGCAATTGTGATTGTTTTTTGTGTTTTTTCTTGGAAGAAATCGATCAACCAACAGTAAATATAAAACGTTAAATTAACTGGAGATTGTTTTTTGTTTTGTTTGTAGAAAATTAATTCACCGTTCCTGTGATTGCAAATGGTGTTACTCGTGATGGAAAGTGTAAAAGCTGACATGCATATAAAATATCATAGATTGGAATGAAATAGTATTTTTAATAGAGTTGCTGAGGATAAACAGAGGTTCCTATCCTCTCACATGCACATTAAACCCTGTATCTGCCTTTATCTGTGTTTGTTAGGCCTTCATGAAGCACAACACACAGAGGCAGAATGAACACTCTCTGTCCAACTTCGACCTGGCCGAGTACAGACAGGTGATCAGTGACCTGGCCATCCAGATCTACCAGCAGCTGATCAAGTGCATGGAGAACATCCTCCAGCCCATGATAGGTGTGTGCATGTACATGTGTGTGTGTGTGTGTGTGTGTGTGTGTGTGTGTGTGTGTGTGTGTGTGTGTGTGTGTGTGTGTGTGTGTGTGTGTGTGTGTGTGTGTGGTCCTACAAGCTAATGCTCCTGTAGTATTGATGGGATTTGCTTTTGTGCACGATACAAATACTTACAAAGCGTGTGTGTGTGTGTGTGTGTGTGTGTTCCCTGCAGTTTCTGGCATGCTGGAACACGAGACCATCCAGGGAGTGTCGGGGGTGAAGCCCACAGGCCTCCGTAAGCGAACATCGAGTATCGCCGACGAGGGCACCTACACGCTGGACTCCATCCTGCGGCAGCTCAGCGCCTTCCACTCCACCATGTGCCAGCACGGCACCGACCCCGAGCTCATCAAGCAGGTGGTGAAGCAGCAGTTCTACATCATCGGAGCAGTCACCCTCAACAACCTGCTGCTGCGCAAGGACATGTGCTCCTGGAGCAAAGGCATGCAGATCAGGTACAGTACGAGATGTTGCTGCTCAGAGCGGAGCTCCAAAGTGTGGCTGATATCTTTACCCTTTGTTTTGTTGTTGTTTCTTTACCTGTGACGTGTGTTTGTGTGCAGGTACAATGTGAGCCAGCTGGAGGAGTGGCTCAGAGACAAAGGTCTAATGACTTTCGGAGCCAAGGAGACTCTGGAGCCTCTGATCCAGGCCGCTCAGCTGCTGCAGGTGAAGAAAAAGACTGACGAGGACGCCGGGGCCATCTGCTCCATGTGTCTGGGCCTCACCACTGCTCAGGTAAACTGTCCCGTCATTTATTAACAACATTCAAAGAGAGGCAAGCTTTGTAAATCATCGCTCTCCACCTCAGTCTGTTTTAAAAGCTAAGTAACTCCATTCACTGTCGGGGAAATGTGTTTCTAACCTCTCTGTGTTGTGTCTCCTCCAGATTGTGAAGGTCTTGAACCTCTACACTCCAGTCAACGAATTTGAGGAGAGAGTATCGGTGTCATTCATACGAACCATACAGGTGATTTACTCCGATGTATCAATACAACACTGACATAGTGTTTCACGTGGCTACAGTATAAATATTTAGGAAATTAATGCTGCTGGAAAACACCACCTGAAAATGTTACACCTTCCAAAGCGCAGCACAAATTGAGTCCAGTAGGTGGGGTGGTGGGAAAAAATGTAGCAGCAATGCAAAGCACTAGAATGTGCAAAAACACCGGTACAGTCCCTTAATGAACTGAACCTATTTTAAGGTATTCACTTTTTTCCTAAATTAAAATGGGCTTTTGTTAAATTCAATGTGGCTGCATATTAATTATTTGATCTCTTCTTTTTCCATTCAGACTCGCTTGCGAGATCGTTGTGAGAGTCCGCAGTTGTTGATGGACACGAAGATGATTTACCCGGTCACTTTCCCGTTCAGCCCTTCCTCCCTCGCCCTGGAAACCATCCAGATCCCCGGCTCGCTCAACCTGGGGTTCCTCACCCGCGTCTAAACCGAGGCCCCACAGGCCATGTTGATGTAGTGGCCACAGTTGGAATTGCAAGTAAAAAAAAAAAAGAATATCAAAAATTTCAAATTTTTATTCACATAGTTTGAGCAATTATGTCAAAAACGTTAAGTGAAAAGCCTCAAAGAGCTTCTAATTCAAAACATGGATTCCCGCTCTCCTAAGAGATCCTTTGGCTGATCCTGAACATTGACACTCAGAAAATCCGACAAAGAAAACCCCATCACGTCCTGAACTTGCAACATGCATCTGTACAATACTTGCATCCTCTGAACGTACACATGCACGCCTACACTCATGTGCACTTTCTCTCTTACAAAAACGCACAAATACACACGACACCCACGGTCGCCGCCGCTGGTTTAAATCTGTCTGTAAAAGGCCATCATCCATCCACTGCTTGTAAAAAAAAAAACGCCTGCCTCTTAGAGAAGCCACAAGAAAAGCCCAGTCGGGCTGATAAAAGGTCAAATCTTGTCAACGCGAGAATGTACGTAACGATACACGGGAGCGGGGGCCCATAACTTGATGAATTGTAGTCTAGCTTTGAATGTTGGGTCTATATTTAATAGGCAAAGTGAATACTGAGTCCCAGTGGGAAGCCAGCTGAGTGACACCGCGCTAAAGTTAACTCTCTGCACCCCCATGTTGAGGCAACCTGGACCAGGCTTCGCTCTGTCCTCGTCATTTCACTCTCTGAACACAGTCGCGCCAAGACAGAACTCACCGTCTGTACTATATTATTTATACATATATAAATATGAATAATATATATCGTGTATTTTATTTATTGCATTTACCTCCGTCCCCACCCTCCCCTTTATTAGATTAGAAGCTTTCTCTTTGCAGTAAACATGTCTGATGTATGAAGGCTGGGACCATCATTTCCCACAGCTTTGTAAGGACTGTTCTACTTTAGGTCCATTGTAGGCTGTTTATGTCAATATCAGGTACATTGTGTCGTATAGTTTAAGGAGTGCCGGCACAGATGATCATGTGTTAGGTCACGTCTTAACGTAGACATGTCGATGTTTATCCTGCATTTCGGGCAGATGCAGTGTAGCACGGGTTTTAACTGAGGAGAGATTTAGAAGGTACGAGGTTTAAGCTGTGACGAGGGTTTAACCTGCTGTCATCTACACTGTTTACAGCTGTGACCAGAGCTGAGCGTCACAGGAAACACTGGCACAACGATATTTAACACGACACTCTGCTTACTGCTGTATCACCGGGGGGGGGGTTTCTTCCTCTCTCTACTCGTCTTCTCTGGTCACAGCTCTAGTCAGTGCTTTGAAGCTGTTTTACTATTATCAACGTGGAAATATTTATTTCAGTATTGTCATTTTTCTTAAGCGTTAAAGCTGTGTATATTATGACCTCATGTATCACTGAGCAGAATGGACAGAAAAGGTTTCTCTGATGTTGGTTTTGGGGAGTTTGTCCAGCTTTACACCGGTGTGTCCACTGCTTTTATTCCCACACTAACACGAACTGCAGCTTAGGAGACCTATTCCTCTCATGTCTTCCACGCCTTCCTGTTTAGTGGCTAGGAAGGCACAATATGGGCCTTTAGAACCAAAAACAATAGAACAGGTGGAACTGCACTTTTCCCACATCTCAATTGCATGGGGTCACTGGCGTAGAAAGATATTTTTGGTCTTTTCTGTTTGGTGCTCCGGTTGTTTTTGGTTCAGATATCCAGAGATATTTGGTGCTTGCTTTCAAAGGCTGAGGGTGATTTTGCACCACACCCCGTACTCAGTCAGTGTGGCCACAGTGTGGTGTAATAACTGCTGCTGCTGCCCTCATCTAACCTGCATGGGCTTGGCTTTGCCAGCATTACTATTTACCAAGAAATCAACCGGCATGCTTTTGTTCTTTTAGTTGTTTGAACAGAGAAACCTAGCTGAGAGTCGTGGGATGAGTGTCCGGGAATCTGCCAATCTACAAAAAGTCCTTTGTCTGCGTTCACATGGTCCTCGCTGCCTCGTGTTTAGCACTTTCTCCCGTCTACTTCCTGTTGTGCCATCAGTATTAACAGTCAACCAAATTTGCCTCTTGCCCTCATGTGAACCTTATTTTGCCTAATGACCTTACCCTTTCACAAACTTATTTCACATATAGGAGATTGTGAATAGTCACCAAAACTGGACTCGGTACACTTTTTTTTTTTTTTTGATTTAATATCTTGTTTAGTTTCAAACCGACCAACACAGGAAATAAGAGTGAACTTGCTGGTGAAGATCCAGTATGTGCTGAGAAATCAATATATTTTATCAAGGTGACGTATCTCATTAAAATGCCATATTAATTACAGATAAAAACAAATATTAAGTGAAGTAAAGAGAAGTTCGTGTGTGAAGTTGCTTTGTGTTGCACTTGTATTTGAGAACAATGTGATATCCGCATGCTCTCATTGGGACCACATGTCATCAGTCTGCCTTCTGTCACATCATTTGGATTAATCGGTAGTTTGAAGTATGGTTTGTTTAAAGAGTGCATTTCTGTGGCGAGGAAGACGGTAACTGAAGGAATTAATTAACCACATGAATGTTTTTAAATTAATTGTTTCATGATTTTAGTCGCACATTGTTGGACAAAGCCTTATCTGAAATGTTTGCTATCTAAATGACTTAAACACACTATCAACATGGTGGCATTGTTTTGTTCAGTCAGTGCAGGGTTTTTTTTTCTCCGCTGTAAAATGAATATAAATTGTTAAATGGGGTCATTTTTTCTTTTGATGAGGTGTCCTTTTGTCCTACAGTTGGTGTCACAGATGGGTCGCACTGTTTAGCCATAAAGTCCAGATGCACTTTTTAGAAGTTGCTGAGGAAGTCGGATAAATGATAGATGGATAAGGATTGTAAAGATAAAATCGTTTTTCTTTTGACTCCCACCGCCTTTCTACTAAACTGCGACGCATTAAGCTTCCTCTACCACATTCCCTCTGCGAGTGGGCGCTTCACTTTTTTTTCTTGCCGTTTTATTAAAACTATGAATTAATGCAAGACACAGGTAAGAAGACAAACACTCTTGAAAAAAACCACACGTTTATTCGTTTTGTTGAGCAGAGCTGTGGCGTCTTGCTCCCCTGGGCTTCTCTTGGGCTCTCATAGGAGAAAGTGTCATTCCTTCACTCTGCATTTTTACATTAAGGAGAGAGTTGGTTGTACGATATGAAGTAGACATTATAAATGACCATTGTTCTTATCAGCACTAGTGTTGATTGTGCCATTTTAAACATTGTTAAAGACAGAACATACATCATCACTCCAGCTGTTGTGGTACTGGTGGGAACATGCTGAAGCCAGTACCAAACGTTTCCTCTCTGACCCATGTGTACATTTGACAAACTGGACTGTTTGTAGTTTCTGGTAGCTGTGCTTAGTGAATGTGTTCACCGTTAAGAAACTTGGAATAAATTGTCAAATCTGTAAAAGTGAAATAAAATAATTCAGCAAATAATTTTGATTGTCTCTGGGAGATTATTTCTGGGGAGTTTTCTCATTCTTTAGTCTTTAAAAAAATGTGATTCTTTCAGTCATAATAAACTAAATACACATTATTCATCTCTTTTAACCGTCTAATTTATTGCTCTTTCATTGACAGCACAAGAACTGAAGACTTAAGGTCATCAGACAGATGTAATAGATTACATTTGATGGGATTGCACAAATCTGATTACAACATTAACATCAAACAAAAAGGGAAAAAATACACGTCATGGCTGTTCTATAACGCGGATGGCACTTTTTTCGCTCAAAATATTGTTTTAGTTGCATCAAGGAGGCGATGTAATGTGACATCATGCAGTTTAAGGGATTATTAAATATTAAATCTATAATGTGTACTGTCATAGGCTGTGAATGCAACTTTCCGGGCCTCGCAGGTTCAGTAATACTGCAGGGACGTATGGAGCAGAGCAGAGCCACAGCTTAAACACTTCACTAAGAAGCTTACAGTTCCCTCACTGACAATAGTTCTCCGGGGATAAATACCTGCTGTACAGAGGGGGGGAAAAACGTTCTCTTGTAAGGTAAGATTTTATCATTGATATGGCTGCTAAATATTGATTGATTGATATGGCTGTGTAAATATTCTTCTGCAAACTGAAGATGTTTTTGTGTCTTTAATTTGGGATAAATTTATGGAACATGATGTGCAAATATGAGTTTAGAGTTTTAAACGTGTGATGAAGCAGCTTAGATGGAGTTTGACTGGTAAATGATATCAGTTTCTGCTGAAGTTCATTTTGTACATGATTACTTCAATAGCAGCCTCGGTGATGGTGAGTTGAGTTTGGAGTGAACATAATGGCAACTCGGTTTGAATTCAAATTGCTAACATAACTCACATTATTTTATTCTATGTTCTGTACACTATAATAACCGTATTAACAGAAGGACTGAAAGTATAATGATTAACTTCAATCTCTAAATGAGGTTGTAGTTTTCTGAATATGTACGTCTGCTGATTTGTTTTCTTTACAAATTGTAATATAACAAATTGAAGGAAACGACACACATTAGCATATTATGACGTTATTATTTGTTAAGGCATACTGTTTATTAATGTGTTAATATTGTAAAAGTTACAATTAGAAAATAAGCGACAGCTTCAAATAACGTGCATGATATGATGAGGGTTTGCGATGGGGAAATGTCATATTTAGTTGTAATTTGGTTGTTTTGGAGTGTGTACTGGATGTGAGCAGTTCCCAGAATAGCTTACTCCTTTCCTCTGGAGCTCAGAGAAGGATCAGGCTGGAGTAGATTACCAACTACTTATCTCCTAACACACACACACACACACACACACACACACATAAACAGTCACACAACGGTACAGACAATCAAAAGAGCCTGAATAAACCAAAATAGCATATAGCCGATTGCCTGAATCTTTATGTTTGTGTCTTGTGTTTTCCACAGGGCTCGTTGTCGGTGATCATCTGCAGCCATGTGTGACCAGACGTTCGTGGCGGCCACTTTTGGCCCCTGCGAAAGCTGTGGGAAAGCCAGTCCTCTTATGAACATCTACATTACGACAGAGGCCATCAACTACTGCTCCTTCTGTGTGGAAGTGGTATGTTATCCTTTCTGTTCCTCATCACTTATAGCTGCCACATAAATGAAGTGCAAACCATGGCAATGTTTGCATCATTTCACTTGAGTGGATGTAGTGTAGATCTGACAAGATATGCATCAGCTGAAAAAGAGAGAAAGAAGAGAAAGAATAAGTTAGCACACTGTGTCAACCCGATGGCCCTGAAGTTACGGGCGTCTCCTACTCTTAAGTTTATCTACGAACATATATGATAACAGCAATCTGTGAGGCAGCTGCCAAGCGTTACATACTAACGCATCATTAGTTTGATGAGGATCACACTAACACTTGCTGTTCAACTGAGGACACACCACTCAGAAGCACCTTTTGACATGGAACTGTATTATTATCTTAATAAAAACACACACACACACACGCAGAGGATGTCATGAGGACCTTTCAGAGAGAGATGCATGCCACTGATCCTCATGATCTGTGGCTCTTTGTCAGCTGGCTCCATAACTATCCTAAAATAATTTGATTAGAGCATTTATTTGTGGTTAGTCCTGGGGTCATTTTTGACCCCAGGACAGCACAAAATGTTCTAAATAAATGAGACATCATATTTTTGGTTTAATATTGAATGACTTTTCCTAATTTAATAGGGACAACTGGGTAAACACAAACTCAACATGTTCATATGTAAAGTTTTATGTAAAGCCATTAAAACACACAAAAAATATCTCTTTCCAATTTTAGGTCAATCAGTGAGATTTTATGGTGATCTGCATATTTCTCCATAGTCCCGTAACAGGGATTCTGGATGTATACGGGTTTGGGTGTCGGGGGGGTTGTTTTATTTAAAGGGCTATTTAGGTAGTCAACAAAAAAACTAAGTATCTGACACATAAACTTGGGTAGCAATTTTAAGTACAATAATGCTCTGCAGGTTCAAATTGCTGGGGTCAAAAATGACCCAGGATAACAGGTGTTAGTAAATTTGAAGGTAACAGGAGGGTTAAATGTTGCAGAAATGAATGTTGACATGTTTTATATGTCAGGTAATGACTTGGAATAAAGTTGACTAAGGAGTTGAAACACAGAGGTGGGTGATAATTTATATTGTATGCTTTATAAACAGTCAAACCTGACGGGGTCATTTTTGACCCCAGAGGACAACAGGTGTGATTATGTGCTGCCATTAGAAAAATTCAAATGATTCAAGAACAGCATCCTAACTAAACTTTGATATGTACCTCTCTGTGATAAGTCAAATGGTAAAAAATAATATAAAGTCAAAATAATTCATTGTTTCATTGTATTTTCGCTCAAAAACAGGGTATACTTTTATGTAAACAAGGTCTATTGGCCCTAAATTCCAAAATGAAGGGAACGATTTGTGGTAATGTGTTGGACTGAAGTAAGACTAAAGGTGTACAACAGAATTGATTGACAATTTATACTGTATGCTTTAAAAACAGTCAAACCAGGTGGGGTCATTTTTGACCCCAGAGGACAACAGGTGTATGGCAGTCGGGAGGACAACACAAGGGTTTTAAGGAAAATACTGAAACATTTTTGAAAGAAAAGTACAACAAAAGTAAAGTGAAATAGTCATTGTGATTGAAACTCCTCGTCATGAAAACCTTAAATCTGCGAACACAGACAACTCTTTTAAAATATATCCTCAATCAATTTCCTTTTAGCTTTGATTTATGAATGATCCCTTGGACAAAATGAGCCAATCAAATTTAAATATGTTTAAATCTATTAGGGGAAAATTGATTATTTTTTCTTTTCTTTATTTTTGTTATTGTCAATTTTCATTAATTTTTTGGGGTATGTGTCTACACAGTCATGGTTTGAATTTTAGACAAAATATTGTCATTAAAAAACTGTAGGAAATAAAAAAACTGGTTAATGCTGCGATGTCATTACAGAGTTAACATTTAATCTAATATTATTCACAATAACTTGTGACAGAGTAATGCAGCTAATGCAGTGGGTGAGGGCATGTTAATATTAAGCTGAAGGGAGGTTGAAATAACAACTTCAATGAAAACCGTAAAGAGTTTATAGCATTTTAAATTGATGAAATGCAGCAGCAATTGCAACAGCATTTAAGGAGACAAAAATAGTGTGGAGCTTAGGCTATAATCTCCTCAAGGGTCAGAAAAAAGTTACAAATCGGTTTAAAAACTTTGAATTTACTATTAAACTACGGGAATATGTGGAAGACTAAACGCTACACGGGTGCCCGCCTGCCTGTAGGTGTCTGTTAAATTAACTTGAACGTGCAGGATGGAGGATGGAGGGAGGAGGGGGCACGAGCTGTGAATGTGACACGCGCGGCGGAGCATCACTTTCGCTTGGGGAGTAATTTAACAAACCTCTAACCACCGAACGTCCCCGTTACATTTCCCGTTTCTCTTCCCCTTTCCGCTCCCTCCTGAGGTTTTTTCGTTGTTGTCTTTTTTCCCCTCTCTAAAGATGGCTTGTCAGGGGCTCCAAGGAGGGGAAACCGTGGCGACACTGAAGAGGGAGAGCGACAGTCTGAAGAAGAAGCTGGAGGAGGAGCGGGCCAAGCTGAGCGACATAGAGTGTAAGTGTCTGGGACAAAATAACAACTATTGCACCTGCTGTGGGCCACCGCTAAAAGCTTGACAGGCTGCAGCTCTGAACTCGTCTTTTCAACATGTAACGTTTTGTTTATGGCGGTTATTCTGTTTACTGAGAGACGCTCACCGTGAAGCATCGCTCAGGTATTTCCATTTTCTGCTAAATGCTATTTGCTACTTTCTAGTCTTCTGTATTTCTCTGACAACTACTAGTAACTTTGCAGAATAACATCTCTAAATACAAAACCTTTCAAATATGACAAATGTTTTCCTACTTGTACCGAAATAAAGGTTGTGAGTAGTTCATTCGGTCAAAAGTTCTCATGAAAGTCACAACACCAACTGAAGTGTGTGTGTGTGTGTGTGTGTGTGTGTGTTGGTACCTCAGTGAACCAGGTGGCTGAGAAGATTGAGGTCTTGGGTGCCCTCTCCATAAAAACCAGACGTGTACTGAAGGGTCATGGGAACAAGGTTCTGTGTATGGACTGGTGTAAAGACAAACGTCGTATAGTCAGCTCCTCACAGGTAGGCCTACATGGTACATAGTGCAATATTATCTAATACAGGAGAATTGTCATTTTATGCTGAGCACCACTGTGGACTCTATTTATTTTGTCATGTAATGCAGATTTTCCTTTCTTATTTAGGATGGCAAAGTGATCATCTGGGATGCATTTACTCTTAATAAGGTGAGTAGAAGTCTGTGTGGTAAGACAAGACAACATAAGATGTAATATATGTTATTGTCCCAAAAGGGGAGATTTTGCATTAACATTAGTGCTGCACACAGCTGCAATCCACCTAAAAAAATGCATAGCCAACAGACATCACAGTGTACCCCAAAGAAGAGGTGGGAAAACATGTCAAATGTTGCCCATGCATTGAGAAATAAAAATACATATATGTTGTAAAACAGGAGAGAATTGTAAAGTCATACAGAATACATGAAACAAAAATACAACTGTACCTCTTACCTGTGAACTATAAAAACAAGGATTAACCTTTTTTCTTATTGAAACGTGTAGTAGTGCTTTTGTGCATTTAGTATGCAGAACAATGTGTGAATTCATTAGAATAACAATAACTATAAATTAAGGGGCTGAATTCAACTTCCTCTCCCTTTACGCCTTACATTAACGTGCATTTTAGGTGATTTAGGTTTGCAATCGGCTAGTGTTTGACCACATGACACAGTTGTGATCCGACTGACCTAACCACCTGTAGATGTGGTCAGAGACGCGTTGTGACCACATTGAACATAAGTGTAAATGCAGTTGCGGTTTTAATCTACATATAGCTACAACAACTACGTGACGGATCTCAATGTGGACGCTGGAGACGCATGTTGATAACTAGGTGTAAATGTAATCAGGTTAAATCATATCGACATACAATCTGGATACGTGACGCATTTTAATGCAAGGTGTGAAGCGGGTCTCAGACTTCAAATTTCTCTAAAAGAAGAGAATGAAACGCACAAACGGATAATCACACGTCTTTGGAGACGACATGCTAGTGTCGACCGTTTGCTGCCTTTACTCCTCTGAGAGTGAGGGTGCAACACGATCACAGGGAAATATGCGTTTAAAGATTATCCATCCATCTGTCCCCTGTAATGTGTGTGTGTGTGTGTGTGTGTGTGTGTGTGTGTGTGTGTGTGTGTGCGCACTTAAATAGCAGCCAGGAGGATTCAGCCTGATTTGACCATCATGTCACCTCTTGATGGAGTAGAACCACACTCAACATAATCCCTATTAATACTGCTTTACCGCAGCTGTGTGTGTGTGTGTATATATGTGTAAGAGAGTAGTTGGTATATGCTTATTTATTAAAGAGAATGTATCTTCCAACCAATGACGAATTACCACGAACATGCGTTACAGGAACATGGGGTGACCCTGCCGTGTACATGGGTTATGGCGTGTGCTTATGCCCCCTCAGGTTGTGCTGTGGCATGTGGGTGAGTACAGAGGATTTCTCTTTTTATTGCCTGGATTTATTAAAAATCTACTCTTTCCAATAATTACAAATCAATAACAAAACAGTGAAGTGAAATAATATTTTTAGAATTGTTTTAATACAAAGTTATTGCTATTGTGAAAGAAAATAAAGATGTGTTTTAGAGATACTATCTTATTGTGTTCAATAATTTAAATGAACCTGGTATTCTATTATATAAGTAAATACTGCATACAGTGGCTACTTCAATTCTTTGTAAGTGTTACAAATAATGCTTCTGCTATTGCTCAGTGGAACTAAATACGATCCTACTGGGAATATGTTTTATTCAATATTCTGAATCGGACACATAATGTAAGAAAAGTTAATTTAATACCCAGTCATCATTTCTCCGTCAGCCTGGATCATTATGCGATATCCATACCCAGACTCTGTGTTGTTATTGTCGACTATTTCATCAGTGACCCGTCATCTAACTTGTTTTATCTCCTTCCAAAGCGGATTGGATAACAAGTGCTCGGTGTTCCCGCTGTCACTTGACAAAAACGAGAATTTGGCTGCAAAGAAGAAGTCCGTTGCCATGCACACCAACTATATCTCAGGGTGCACCTTCACCACCTCTGACATGCAGGTGAGCAGCAGTTCAATGCCTTCTGATAAAACTGGAAATACAAGCATTTTATAGATTAAACGTTGGAATCTTTTATTTATGATTAAATGCATTTTTTCCACTTGAACCAAAAAAACAACAACATGGACTATGACTACATTCTGAAACATAGCATGTTTTGTTTGTATTTGTAAGATTTGTAGGCTAAAAAAACAATGCGCATTGACTTGAATGCAACAGTTACGGTAGGATCTGAACCTGAAGGGTTTGGTGGAGCTCAGAGAGGACTTGGTCCAGCCGGGGGTCTGCCATGAGATAAAGTATCCCATTCACAGTGTTTCCATTTTAAATAAATGCTTTCTTAGCTGATTTATCTCCCGTGAATATATGGAGTATATTCACTCTTTATATTGGCCACTTTTCGCATTCTACAATCTGTACAATTAGCGTACTTCAGTTGTGACACCACCACCTTCATGTTTAAAGTATTAGAGCCTTGCTGGTCCGTACACTAGCAAGAGACAAGTCAAACATATTCAATTCCAATATCGATCATTTCATATCTCGATAACAATATATATTAAGATGTAGCATGTTTTCGGGCGATTCAATAAATACATAGTCTATATGAAATAACCACATGGTAAAGCCTATTATTTTTACTCCTGTATGAATTAATTACTTGTCAAATGGAAAGTACTAGTATTTAGAGTAAAGTATTTTCTCTTTTAAGTGAATAACTTTAGAGCAAAATTTAATCAATTCAGATTTCGTGAGAAATTTAAGTTAGCATGTGCGTTTCATTATCTGTTTAGATGACGTAATTATGTATCTGGATATATGATTTCATTAAGATAGGATTCCATTGAAAGACAATAAATTATCAAATTGAGTTACGGCAGAGCCCTAATTGATATTCTATATGTGTAATAGAGGTTAATGAGTCAGCATCAGCTAGATTTTGTTTTTGTTGGCTGTGCCTTTGACTCCCCAGCAGGATAGAAAGAAGTTTGGAAAGAGACTCAAAAGGAGAACATTCAGGAAACGGCCTGAGATATTTGGCTTTAATAATGTGCTCCTCGGCAAGGCAGAGGGGCACAATGGCAGAGCACTGGGTGATGGATGGCAGAGCTGAGGACAGAAAACAGACTGGAGGGGTGGTGATGGTCCTCTGTCCTGAGTTTATTAATAGACTCTGAGTGGTTCTTATCAAGGAAAGAGGCCGTTATCTCGAAAAGAGTGGAGCACACTGACCTGAGGGCAGAACATTTAACACGCAGACACACGCACATACATGTGTTCTTCCTGAATTTCTCTTTCATCCTGCATCTCACACACAAAGACATATGCATGCACATGAGCACACTGTAACGCCCTCAGCCTTTATACTTTACCTTTGAAATAAACAATGGCAGTGCTGGACTACATTGAGGGCTCAGAATGTGTGTGGCTATTCATTTGATTTCAAAGACTGGTTCTCCTAACAGGAGTGTGTCATCCTAACAGGAGAGTTAGGATGACACACAGTTTGTGTTGTTGTGTCTCGGTGTATGTGTGTGTGTGTGTGTGTGTGTGTACTTTTTCCACATCTCTCTGCCAATATACCGGATGTTGTAACTATCAATGAAGAGTCCCAGAAAGTGTTTGTTTTAGAGGTGACCTGCACATTTGACTCTAGTCTAGACTACTTCTTTTCATATTTAGCTGCATAGGACACACTCACAGGTTGGTCGTAAGAGGACTTCAATACCTTGGAGCTACACGGCTCGCAAAGCACTCTGCTATCTTTGCTATCATTGGCAGCCGCCATATATGGCAGACACTTTGCTACTCATATCCTTGATAACTGAGTAGGCCTACTTTGTTTTTTATTGTGAGGACCTATGTCACTAGTCCACGATTGTGTGAATGTATTCTACGGCACCTTTAAAATGTGTGTCCTTGCATTGTTCTTCTCTTATGCGCCCATAAAACAATTGTTATAAAGTGTGTGTGCGTGTGTGTGTGTGTGTGTGCGTGTGTGTGTGTCCAACTGAGAGCAACATGTAAGTAGTGCATTGGCTTTTGAGAGTTTTGATATGTGAGATCTGATGTTGCACTTTCTCATTAAAGACATGTACATGTGGGATCACTGGGTAGTTTAATGAACCCCTGCAAGTACTTAATTAATGGTAACAGACAGGTGGTGGTAAGAAGAATCAGACTGATGCAAAGGCTCTCTGTTAGATCAATGAGGTTCCCATCTGTGTGTGTGTGTGTGTGTGTGTGTGTGTGTGTGTGTGTGTGTGTGTGTGT